TTGTCTTGTATTATTCTTTCTGATTGTCTTTCTCTCCTACATCTAAGGATTGTTGTGATGGCTTTGGGTTCACCTGGCAACCTGGATAATCTTCTAATATTTCAGACTTCAAATGTATCTGCATCTAAATCCCTGAAACCAGTGACTGTATGGATAAAGAGGTTTCCAATGATGTAATTAAGCCATGGATCATGAGATAAGAATGTTATCCTATATTATAAGCTCTAAATTTGATTAGAAATGTCCTTGTAATTGGAAAACAGTATTTATAAAAGGAAAATAGATGATTCCACAACAGAAAGACGATGACAACTTTTCTAATAAAGTTTTAAAAATGAATTTTTTTCTGAAAAATCATTGAAAAGAAAGTCTCCAAGACATATTGGGGGTTTTAGTCAGTGTGCTGGCCAGTTTTATATGAAGTTGACACATCCTATAGTTATCAGAAAGGAGGGACCCTCAAATGAGAAAATGCCTCCGTAAGATTGGGCTGCAGGCAAGCCTGTAGGGTGTGTTCTTAACTAGTGGTTGATAGGGTAGGGCTTATTGTGTATGGTGGTCTGGTGGTCCTGGGTAAGAAAGCAGGCTGAAAGCCATGGAGAGCATGCCAGTAAGCAGCACCCCTCCATGGACTCTGAATAAGCTCCTGCCTCCAGGTTCCTGCCCAGTTTGAGGTCTTGCCCTGATTTCCTTCAATGATGGACTATGATGTAGATGTGTGAACCAAATAAAAATCCTTTCCTCCCCAATTTGCCATTGGTCATGGTGTTTCATCAAGGCAGATGTTACAGGTATTCTAAATTCTTCCCATTCAAAGTCTGTCACAGATGTCTGTATGTGTACTTCTCCAAAATGAATTAACACTGTGTATCCAACCTAAACATCTACCTTGCAAAGTAGTTGCTTTGTACCCATTTTTCAAATGAGGAGCCTGAGGTTTGGGTGTGTCAGAATTTGAGGGTCGTTTTCTCTTTCTTTTCCTGTTTATGCAATTTGACAGTTACAGAAATCTCACCAAATGGAATGTAGTAGTCATCTCTAGAAAAATCTCCCTTTCAGCACTGTTTCACCTGTGTTATTTTTTATTAGCTAATTTATGTACTTGGTTTAAAAATTGGTAGCAAAACAGATACAGGGGGCTGGAGAGAAGGCTTAGGGTTAAGCACACTGGCTACTCTCCCAGGTTCTGAGTTCAATTCCCAGAACCACATGATGGCTCAAAACCATCTATAATGAGATCTGACTGTCTGTAAAGACTGATGTCTTGGTTTCTAAAGCTAAATCTATCTGTCCTTACTATTTCCATTGGTTTGGCAACTCCTGAAACCGAATAAACGTGTGTGTGTGTGTGTGTGTGTGTGTGTGTGTGTGTGTGTGTTGGCTTACAAAGTTACAGCTATAAGAACCTAAAAGTTCCTTCATAAGTAGTTGTATGCAAAGCGATTTCTCATCTGGAAGGGAGTGAAGCTGCCGGCATGGCTCCAGCAAGGCTACGTGGAGGTGGAAGGACCCTTCCAGGGTCGCCAACTCACAGCTGGAAAAGCTCCAGAGGATTCTGCTTTCTCGGGTGGCTTTTCCCAAGGTACAGCCTTTGCTGAGTCCTACTGGTTCTGAAGTTTTCCTGGGTCTGTGAGCTGCCTCTCCCTGCCCAGCCCTCTAGTTAACGCTAGCCTTTCCCTGCTCGCCTAGCAGCTGCTCCCAGGTGAGTGTGTTGAGCTCTGAGGGGGCAGGAGGCTCGAAGCTGGTTTCTACTGCTGGGTTCCTGGTTCCGGTGGGCAGCTGTGCTGAGCCCAGAGCTCCAGGCCTACGAAGTGAGGTGGAGCTCCTTGTACACTTCCGGAGGCTGTGGACAAGGAACCTCCACCTCTGGGGCAGAAGTGGGGAGGGAGAACCCTACAGGTGTGGAAAGGGATCATCAAGTGGTCACGGGAATATGTTGGGACTAGATGAGACTAAATGACAACAATGTCATTTGTGATCTTCCTCCATGACATCTTGGAGTTTCACTGTGTAGCCCAGGTTGGCCTGAAACTCACACATCTCCTGCCTCGGGATTCAAATGGACTAGGGTATAGTGAGTATAAATGTGGGACACCTTGACTCGCTTATTGTACATTTTAAAAATAGGTTTACATGATGCAGATACTATATAAAAGCGTAGCAACCATGATCTGATGAGCCTGAGTAGCAGTGCAGCACTATTCCTGCTCTGGAGGTGCATTGCATTCTGGGGTGTGTATGGAGTAGAGAGCTGGCAACCTCACCATAGATCATGCCAGGGAACCCAGCCCAGCTAGGATTCCCATAGTCCTCTGTACCCAGCCTGCAAAAGAGATGTGAGATGAGGGGGGTCTGCTTTGCTACTTAAGCAAAACAAGAAAAACAAAACAACTCGAACCACTTTGCTACCTCTGGTCAGTTAATGACCAAAGTACAACCGTGCAAACCCAGACTCCCTGGAATTCCCTTCCACCATCTTAAGCACACCTCATCTTTCTTAAGACAAACTTTGTTTGACAAATCTTGTTTCTCAGATGCGGGCATATCTGTGTATAGTAGGAAGTATACGAAACAAAAGTATCAGAAATAATGTCTGTGACTCAGTGAAATTGTTAAAATGTCTAGTCTTCTGTTTTGTGTGAGGATTCGTTAGTCTCTGGCACAGTGTCCTAATAAGAAAGGTTGACGGAATGAACGGATAAAAACTTTTTTTTTTTCCCCCGCTAAGAGCCTTGGGTCTACAAATTTGCCGGAACTTTTAGAAGAGTCAATAACCCTTTTGAACTTTCTTATTTCGCTAAACGGCTGTTATTAAGTCAACAGTACCGGGTAGAGGGTGGGGCGGGGCACCAGAGAGCTGCTCACAAGAAACGGAGCTGATTTCAAAACACTTTTTGTAAAATGATCTAGAAATAGAAGAAGCTGAAACGGGATTTGGGGACAGGGGAAGACAAATCTATGTTTTAAAAATAAACAGTTGACGTTTTTAAAAACATTATTTCCTTTTATTTTCTTGTAAAGCAAGCTGGCCTCCAGCTGCTCCCGCCTCAGCCTCCCACGTACTAGAATCACAGACGCGAATCGGGACCAGCCAAGCGCTGTTCTTTTTTCCAGAGGTGGATCTAAGGTGGAGACTGACCGGGGCAGGCAGAGAGGGGCTTAGCAGGACTCTAGGGGTGGTCCGCGAAATCCGAGACACCTGCAAACAAAAGAGAAAAGACCCGCTTTAGAAAGCAGCCCTAGGAGCCAGTGCTGCCCTGCCTCTGCCGTGCCCAGGGCTGTGTGCAGTACGGTCCCCCAGCCCAGGACCTCGCTAGTCTCCCGCAACAGTCTCTCCTCTCCACCCCGTACCTCCGCCCAGTCCCGGGTTTTCTCATCCGCTCTAAGTCAGCGGCCGGAGCAGTCCTGAGAGCTAGTGTCTTTTCTGCTGCAAAACCAGGGCTCTAGGAAAGAGGGTGGCGAATCCTACCAGACTTCAGGCACCCGTGAAGAATCACCTCCCTGCCAAGGTGCCTTCGATCCCGGGAGCACACCACAAGGGGCTCTGGAAGGCATAGGACACCCCCACCCCACGTGCGCGCTCACAGGTTGTTTCCATCTGGTCTTCCTCCTCCAAACCTATTAACGGCTTCTTGTCACTTGTTGGACAAAATGGACTTTCCTTCTTTTAAGATCTTCGTGGCTCCCATCAGACCCGCCTACGCTCACTAGTTCTCCTCCCCATCTGTTCCCGCTGCGGCCTTTGCATAAATGAGCCTCACTCCGGAATTCTTCTTGTAGCTTCTCTAATCACGTTATTCTGATCACACTCCTCTGGAAACCTACTCATTGAACCTACTCAACACAGAACACAAGTTTCCAACCACATGCTGCCTGGAAGAAGTCCGCACTGGAAGGGATCGTACCCACCAAATTAGGAATCACCCAAAGCCTCCCTCCCTCCTCCTGCTGGCAGCTTGGATTCTGTACGCTGCAGTCAACACCGTCACTTACAGCGGGCCAGAGTGAGACTTCTCCGCGCTCTTGTTCTAGGATATATTGTAGTGTCTTCTAAGTCACGTTTCACACTAAATATTTGTGTTATTTCCATGTATTGCTTTATATATCTTATTTTAATTAAAAACATTTTCTCTTTAGCAAATAGACTTTAAACATGAAATTTCATGTGTGGGGATAGAGGGATGATATCCAAGAAAGAAAGGCTTCGCGGTTGCTGAAGGCTTTGAAAGGCAAAGATTTATACTCATTTGTGGTTTAGCCATGTCTCCAAGAAGTGGAAAGCTTAAATTTTATGTTTAATTGTGTATATGCGTATATGCGCGCACGCGCGGTCTGGGTGCGGTCTGTGGCCAGAGGAATCGAATCCTCTAGAGCTGGAATTCCAGGCTGTTGTAAACTGCCTGATGTGGGTGCTGGGTATCAAACTCTGTCTCAGGCAGAGCAGTGCGCTCTTAACAGCTGAACCATGAATTGGAAAGCTTAAAAAGACGGGAAAGAAGATCTCCGTATCAAATACCCTCAAAACACTGGGGGTGCGAGCTAGGAATTTTTCCACTGAGAAGGCCAAGGAGCAAGGTTGACTAAGTTGCCAGCTGAAGGACAGGGCCTAGAAGTTTGGAAATCAGTCCTCCTGGCAGGTTTGCAAAGCAGCGAGAAACAGAGGCCCTGTGAGTAGCAGCGAGGCCCTGCTGTGGCTCCCCGAAACAGAGCCGAACTCTAGACCTCTGGCCCTCCTGCCTCGCAGCTAAGGCTTTGACTGGGGTTAAGTCGATGTGTGAAGCTGGGATTTACGGACAGAGTCCATGTTCTCAGGCTCATTTGGATTGCATCTTCTTAGGTTGTCACACAACTTGGCTCTGTGAGTTGAAGACAGCCAGAAGACCCTGCCCATCTTTTCCATCTGTAAATGAGTTTTAGAAGCGCTCAGATTTCAAGCTCTTGAACCAGCCGTGCTCACCTGGGGGTGTTTGAGCGCAAGTTATGCCTGCTGGCCCGCTGCCTTGGGGGTTGCGCCCAGCCGCACGTAGATATTGTACGACATCGCGATGGCCCCCCTCCTGGGCCAGGTCCATTGGCAGGCGACCCCGGGCATCAAACACATCCAGCCGCGCCCCCGCCTGGTGCAGTATCACCAGAGTTTGCAAGAACCCCTCCCGTGCTGCATCGTGCACAGGACGGGAGAGGGTGGCTGGGTCCTTGCAGTTCGGTTCCGCACCGTAGAGCAGCAGCAGTCTGGCCACTTGGGTGTTGCCCATCATCATCACCTGAAAAAGAAGGAAGAGTAGAGGAGTGAAGGCAGAGTGCGGGGAGGACCCGAGATAGAAGCTCTATTTAAGAAGCCTCAACACTAACTACCCGGTGGTGACAACCAAGCACAAGGTTCTACCCCTTAAGGGCTTCCTGTACCAGCTAGCTGCTCCTGTCCTCTCCATTCCATTCTTCTTACACACAGGATAAAAGGGTATTCCCTCACGCTTTCATGGCTCTGAAACCCTTGTAGAGCATCACCAGGGGCAAAGACTGCACTTGCCTCATTTGAGACATCAATGATTGTGTGGTAATTACTATAAGTGGTTGGCAAAAGATGCACCCAGTGAGGCTGGAGAAATAGCTCAGTGGTTAAGAGCACTAGCTGTTCTTCCAGAGGTCCTGAGTTTGATTCTCAGCAACCATATGGTGACTAACAACTATCTGCAATGAGATCTGATGCCCTCTCCTGGCATAAAACCAGCAGAGCACTCATATACATAATAGAAATACATAAATCTAAAAAAAGAAAAAAAAAGCCAGCATTCTCACAAAATTTTGTTAGCCTTGTCTTCCTGGAATACTTGGATTTCTTGAAGTCTAAAATGTCCCTAAAATATTACTGTCCCCTTCCTATCTTAAATTATTAATCCCCTAAATTGTGAAGATGTTGCAGAGAGACTTTGTAGACACCACTATATTTAGGAGCCTGAGATACTTTGTCCTGGACTACCAGAGTAGGCTCAATGATATCACAAATATCCTGCCAAAAAGAAGAAATAAGCAGAGATGCAGGGGTCAGAGAAAAGGTGCAGGAGTCCTGGGCCAAGAGCCACCAAATCTAGGAAAAAGAAAGCAGATTCTGGCTTATAGCCTTCTAAAGGAATAAAGCCCTATGGACTGGTTTTAGACTTCCAGCTCTTGTAGTTACATAACGATAATTTTGTGTTTTAGTCATTAAATGTGTGCTAACTAGGTCCATTGGAGAAATGCTTGCCTAGTGTTTTAGTTTGCTTTCTGTTGGTGTGATGAAGACCATGACCAAGAGCATCTTGGGGAAGAAAGGGTATCATAGTTCATCACTGAGGGGGGAAGCCAAGCCAGTAAGCTGCAAGGGGGAGCTAAAGCAGAGCTAATGAAGAATGTACTCATTGGTATGCTCAGCTTGGTTTTTGTTTGTTTTTTCTAGACAGGGTTTCTCTGTATTGCTTTAGTGCTTGTCCTGAAACTAGCTCTGTGCATCAGCTGGCCTCGAACTCACAGAGATCCACCTGCCTCTGCCTCCTGAGTGCTGGGATTAAAGGTGTGCACCCACCAATGCCCAGCTGGTTTTTTTTTTTTTTGTTATTTGGTTTGTTCTTTTTTATGCCACGGAAACCATCTGCCCAGGATGGCACTGCCCACATCAGAAACCAAGAAAATGCCCCCAAACAGTTGCCTACAGGCCAATCTTATGGAAACTTTTCTCAATTAAATAAAAGTACTCTTTATTGTCATTAAAGCAACTATAAGACCTTGCATGTGAAGGAAACTCTGGGTTCAAACTCCAACACTGCATAAACCCTGTCTACCTGCATTCTTGAGATCCAGTGAATAGAGGAGAGGGACCAGAACTTTAGCCTACTTACCAAGTTCGAAGCTAGCCTCTGAGCTCTCTCTCTCTCTCTCTCTCTCTCTCTCTCTCTCACACACACACACACACACACACACACACACACACACAAACCAAAGGAGGGAAGATGGGGAAGAATGGGGAAGGAAACTGTATATGAGAAGAAAATCTCCAATAGAAGAAAAAAATGTAATTTGTTAGAATAGTAATACAACAAAACCACTTCTCAAGTTTAAAGTTTGAAAGACTAGCTTTGAACTAACAATCCTCCTGGCACAATCCCCTTCCTTCCAAAGAAACTGTGTTACAGGCCTGCTCTTAATTTTTAAATTGCCTTGTAAATAAAACCATTCCTAAACCAGGTGGCCCATGCCTATAATCCCAGCACTCAGGAGGCAGAGGCAGGTAGATCTCTGTGAGTTCAAGGCCAGCTTGGTCTACAGAGTGAGTTCCAGGATAGTCAAGGCTACATAGAGAAACCCTGTCACAAAATAATACTAATAAATAATGATGATGATTAAGGATTCCCATAGAGGATGCACTGGACTCAAACCAAGGCTTTGTGAACACCAAGCAAAGAGTTCTACCATCTAGTTCCCTCCATCCACCAGAAAGGAATCCATGACCATCACAAAAACAAGTATTTTGTTGTAGTTGTGAGTTCTGGGATCCCACAACTTTTTCTGGCCTCAGGTGGGCATGGCAGTATGTGGTGTAGATATACATTCAGGAAAAATACCTCTTCACAAACAATAAAATAATAATAAAGAACCCAGCCAGACATAAGCTGCTAAACTACAAACTTGGCTTGAGGCTGGAAGGTATGCTAACAACTCCAATTCGGAATGTTAACTTCAGGTCACCTATTTGCAATTTTGAGGTAGGAATAAAAGTTATATTAGCTGTCACATCAGACTTTCCCCCAAATTGCTTTTACTTGCAATGGCAACTTTAAGCTCTTTAGGGTAAGCAAGATGGCTCAGCAGGTAAAATGTTTTGCTATCAAGCCTGACCTTCCATTTTCCAGACTCATGATGGAAAGAGAGAATCATTTCCCACAAGTGTCCTCTGTCCTCCACATGCAACCCTCCCTCAACTAAATAAACAAATCAGGGCCATAAGAAAATTAAAGTGCTGTAAAGTTAATTGGGGGAAAATAGAAAACTAGGCAGAAATTGCCCTAGAGAAAACCCCCAAATACCACTTTGTAGAGAGAAGCCACAGTTCAATTTGATCTGGAGTATAGAATAAAGAAACTTGCTCACACTAGAATAAACTTGGCCATAGGTTTGGAATCTGCACACAGACTACAAGAAGTTAAGGACAAAGTTATGTATTGATGTGCTGTTGCATTTACCTACAATGGGTCTAATAACAATTATAAACTGAGCACTGGTAACCAGCCTCTGGACCTATTCCTATCACTACAAAGTCAGGCACAGGTCCCTTTGCTTCATACCCCTGCTCCCCTGCTCCCATTTACCCACCTGTGTGTTTACCCGCCTCTACATGCAGCTGCCTCCTCTTCTGTTGAAAGTTTTTTCTAACCTCAGGACTCTTCCTGAGAATCATATTAGCAACTGCCTTGCATGTGATGTCACCAAAAACCAAACCAAACAAAAACAAAACAAACAAACAAGCAAACAAACCCACTGGATATCCATGAAGTTGGCCATCAGAATAAGCTTGAAAATCTTCAGGGAGTTTTTAGCTCCCCTCAGGAAGATCTAATCAATTTGCTGTTCTGTGCTCTGGAAACTTGCAGAAAGCTGTGTCATCCTTTTGGATTCATTGTTGATAACCCCCCCCCTCCGGTGTGCGTGCGTGGTGCGTGTGTGCGCGCGCGCGTGTGTGTGTGTGTGTGTGTGTGTGTGTGTGTGTGTGTGAGAGAGAGAGAGAGAGAGAGAGAGAGAGAGAGAGAGAGAGCTATACTAACATTTGATGGCCACAGACTGTTTTACAACCTCAAACTTTTCTTATTGAGAACAACCACAGTGGCAGGACTAGTGTGGGTTGCATTGTATTGTTGAATCTTTCCCTGAAGAAAGTGGAACTAATTTAGTTTTCAGGAAAACTATAAGTGAACTTGACAAAGAGGAAAAAATACTCTGTGCTCTATGTGTATATCGAAGTCCTCCACCTTGCTCATAAATTTGGGTTTAAAGATTGCTCATATCTTTTATGGTAAGGAAAAGTTGAAAATATCAAATTTAAAATGAATACTCAGAGTGTGCCTAAATCCTTTTAAGAAAATACCTGCAATTCAGTCATTGTTTTTTCTTTTCTTTCTTTTTTGGTTGTTCAGTTTTATTTTATTTTTTGAGACAGGGTTTTTCTGTGTAGTTCTGGCTGTCCTGGAACTCGATCTGTAGATCAGTCTCTGCCTCCTGAGTGCTGGGGTTAAGGGTATGGGGCTGACACTACCTGGCTGATTTTTTTCTTTTTATAAACAAAGCATTTCTGTCTCAAACACCAAGTTGGTTAAGGTTCTCAACCAAACTGATTTTCTCTTCCCCTTACTAAACTGCTGTGAAAACTATCAACCTGATTTTCCCCCTTTTCTGCATACAATAAATAAGGTCTTCTCTTATATATTTTCAGCTTCAGATGCTTTAAACTGTAAGCTATAACCCCATTATTTTTAAAGGCTCATACCTATTTTGTACAACCACTCAATCTGTCTAGTCTCAAAATGTCTCCACACTTGACTTGTAAATAGTCTCAAGGTCCCACTTTTATTATGTTTTAAACTGTATAAATGTATTCTATATTACATAGTTACAACTGGTGTTACTTTCCTTTACCCTGTTATGCACAGGCTTTTAGAATTATACTTGTTTCACAGGAATTTTGTTAGAACTAGAAATAATGGTTATGGGTGAATATTACTGGGCGGTGATGGAAATAATTCCCCCTTTAGGTTGAAGCTTATAGTAAGTTAGCAGAAAGCAAACCCAGAAATAATTTACTGACAATATATGGGAACAAATAATAACTCAATCACGAGAAATTGAAAACCTGATGCCAAAGTGGTACACTATACCAAGGTAGTTTAAAGGATGGCGGCAGCAAAAATAGCGTTTGCACGCCAAATGGTAACTGAAAGGCCATTGCAGTCAGGGTCACACTGCAAACTCACCAGAAATGTTGACTTTTCTTCAACAAAAGCTACCACCCCACCGCAGATGAGATACCCTGTGCCTACCTGAATCGGGGTGCGGCCGAAACAGTTCGGGGTGTTGGGTGAAACCCCTGCTTCCAGCAGAGCCCGAACCTCTTGTTCGCGGCCCTGGGCCGCCGCCCTAGCCAGCCTGTCTGCCGAGGACTCCATGCTGCTCCAAATGCTCCCCTTCTCGATCGCCTCCCTCTCGATCGCCTCCCTCTCGGAGATCCAGTGCCCGCCCC